GAATTGTGGATCACTTTACAGTGACGAAGCAGGAACCTAGCTAATTTTCGGACACCTCCTACCCCCTCCTCCCTCAGCCACTGATAGGGCTAAATTATAACATCTGATATCCGAACGCTCTCACCGTTTATTGGGTGTTTAAAATTTTGTTACTCTACCCTCCTTCATGTTACTGCAAAGGCCTGATGATGAATATTCCAAAGCTAACGTTCGCTAAACTTGACTTCTAAATAGCGAGTCAAATTGAGTGGCGTTCGGAAAGCCACCCTGATTGCAAGACAGAATATGGACATTCTGTTTTGTTTGGAGCCTCAGTTTAGTTTTTGCAGACGGTCCTTTGGCAATAAACGATTTACCTTCATGAAATATTATCAATAAAGGCAAATGAAATGACATGGCTATTTCTGGTTTACTGCAGTGATCAGCCAAACACACCCAAACCCCAACTCGATAGCAGCTATAAGCTTGAACCCGTGTTCAAATAATGTTCGAAGTAGAAACACAGAAAATCGGCTAAAGTGACTGCTTAAAAAGTTCTCATCAGGCGACTTTTAGCTGTCGCTAAGACGCACTATAAATTCGGACTCAACGAATCCATATAAGATAGCTGATTAGTGTTAAAAAACGAAAAAAAAAGATTCAATAGTGGTGGTGGCCTTATAAAACCTTGTTATAGAGCAATCGTACTCACCTCGCGAACGCTGTCCAAGTTCCACAATTGTTTTCCACAGGGAGTTATGTAGACGACCTCACCCAGCAGACCACCTGGACCCACTCCCTTAACGAGGGTTTCACGCCTCCAACTAAAAAATTCAAAGTACTTTAGAAAGCACAGCAAGTAAGCGGTAAATTTGCTCACAATTTTCAAGCAGAAAGACAGCCCCTGCTGTTTTTATCGCCTGTTTGGAAATGAACCCACCTTCCGAATTACTAATGGCCGATTATTTAACAATGCATACCAAATCTGCTTACATATTTCGGTCCAGTAGGCCTGTTATGGCGTCCATATTGCCTGATTTTACGGTACAATAAGAGGCGCCTAATAGGAGTGGGTGACCTTGTGATATCAGTCTTTTCAGAGGCGAAGCTGGTCAGTCAATCTTTCTCCACGCGCCCGCTGCGCACACCCTCAATTACCACGGCAGCCGCCTAGCTACATTAAAGCGAATGGTGGTCTAGGTCTTAAGCAAACATCCAACATGGCCTGTGTTCAGTCCGGTGAAGCGAGGACACGTCACGGCGACACACTGGACTGCGTTATTTTGTCACAAGCCATGCAGGCAGTCCTCCGCCGCGAGGACAGATTTATCGATTTTTCCGCTCGCCGCTGGCTCAAACGACATGAAAAGTATTCG